TACTCTTAATTTGTAAATATTGTACATTGTGTATTATATTGGGTGGTATTCTTTTCAGTATAGGGTGTGGTTCAATGTGAAATTGGTCACCACTGATGATTAAGAATTATCTTAATTGTTTGCAGTTTTCCATTTTGTGATGAAATGTAGAGGTTTTCCAGACACTTGTAGTTGCTTTATTAAATCTGTATCAAAAGCTGTAAGGATTAATTATCTGGATATTGGAGTAAGGGTATGTTATATTGAAATAGATTTTTAAATTTGTGAAATACAGATTTATATACTTTTATTATAACTTGTTTTTTTTATTTTCCTGGCATGTCAATTACAGAAGAAAAAATGCAAAAGCAGAAGAAAAATAGCACAGGTGAAATTTTTTTTCACTCTAATAACTCCTCTTATTATTTCTTGGCATTGTTTTGGTATAAGATATTATATGCACTTATCTAGGTCTGTAAAATAAGCTTTTCACTTTTTTAATAGCATTTTATGGTAATTAAAAATACATTAATTTCTTTTGTTAAAGTTTTAGTTAGACTAGCTTTGTTGTAAATGGTAACTTAAAATAAGAAAGCAAGATTTGTTAGACAAATTGCAAATGTGGGTGTTTTGTTTTGCACTCATGATATGTTTAGATCATTTTACCCTTTTGTGACAAGCTCGGTATAAAATACACGAGTTCATATACACATTTGTACATGTTAAGTATTTATACTATAACTTTTAATGCTGAATGCGTATCTTCACAAAATTTGGTAGACTTTTAGTAATAATTCCAAGTTTTTTGTACACAGAAAATCAAATTGTTTAATGAATTATTTTTACTAAAGATTTGTTTGTGAAAATATCGAGTCTATTTCGTTACAAGTCCGAGTGCAAGGGGATTTTCATGTCATAATTAAATAACTATTCTTCGTTCCAAAAATCTCAGATATTATTTGTGTAATCTATAAAACCTCCTAAATACATTTCAAAGTTTCTCTTCAGTAAAACTTTATATTTTGTCTGCTATTTTCTTTACCTTAACTATACAGGGTTTATCAATTTGATCAACCTTGTAACCACCATAAAAAATTAGGAAATAAATATAAATTATGCTTTTTTCCTTCTAGAATGGCTACAAATTATAACATGAAAACACAAATGTTTAGTCTAAATAGCTTAAATCTCATAACATTATACATTTATATATATATATTTATTATTTTTCTTATATTGACCTTCCAGTCGTGCCTGGCTAACAATGCAGAAATTACAATGATGCAATGCACATGCACTCGTGTTATCGTATCCAATAATATAAAACTGACATTTAGTCTTTACAAAGTGACCTGTCTTGGCTGTGTTTTAGTGGACTAGTATTTTGTAAGATACAGTCACGTTTTAATTATTATACATTATATATATGTATATATATTAGCGCTATTTACAAACAAGTTCTTAAACTTATATTTCTTAAAATATAAACCAGAAAATGAAGAAGTAAAGCAAACAATTATCTCTTCTTGTTATAACCTTTGTACTCGGTTGCTGCTTGTAGTAGCTTGCTAAGCCCTAAGAAATTTCACACGTGGAAGATGTGAAAGAAAATAATTTTTTTTTAGGTTTTATATATATACATTTGAAGTAACTAAAAAATCATAAATTATTATATTGATACCATAGAATTCCATTATAGTTTATCAAGTTTAGTAACTAAGCTGTCTTTTGGTCTAAAAAATAGGATATTTCAAGCAGACTAAAGACATAACTTTCCTCCTTGAAATCTTGTTTTGAAAGAACGAGATGGCATCTTAACACATGAAAATGGCTGAAAAAGCCATTAGGAGGACATTCTGAGCTTTCAATTGGTTATTCACATGTCATATACACAAGCAAGTGTATATAAGGGATTGTTTCCAAATATGGAAAAGAGATGAGCAGTGCCACTGTGTTTGATTCAGTACATGAGCGATATCTCAGCAAATAGAAAAGATCGGAGGTTCTTATTTTATATTCTAGCTTGTGAATATCAATAATTTGAGTTCCTAATTTGTACGTAACTATAGATTTTGTATTTTGACATAAACATCTAATTTGAACCAGTACTGCATTCAACATACCACGTGACACACAAAAATTGCTGTTTAAGGGTTTTTTTTTTAATATTTACTTTTAAATTAAGAAATTTAATAATATATAATACTAACATTTGGATTATAATCTACAGTTTGATACCAAACTTATTGAAACAAATTCATAAAATAGTAGTTCAATAAAATTTTGAATGCAAGTCAACAAACACAATGACATGGCCTTTGACTCGTGACCCACAGCGATAGGGTTAAAAGAAAATCTACCTATATTTAATAAAGAGGCAAAATTCCTTTAACAGGAGTGGATGTAAATTAGTTCACTCAAACTCATCAGAATATTGTACTTGGAAACGTTGGCTCAATATTTTTGTTAATACTCAATGGTACCTTTTTTCAATTGAAATAGCATATTACTTTTATAATAATATTTATTAAAAAGTGTTTGGTCCCATGCTGAAATGCTCCAGGATGGAAACATTTTCTTCAAAAAAAAATAATCTGTGTCACCTTGTTGTGACTTCTACTTTACAAATTTATAATAAACTACTAACAATGAGGACTAGGTCTGCTTCTTCTTAACCAAATGTGCACAAGGTTGATCATCTGGAGAAGTACTGTTGGCTATAATTCCCAATTTACTGTGTGTATTTTCACAAAATGTAGCAGGCTTTTAGTAAATAGTACAAGTCTGTTGTACACACAAAATCAGATGTGTTATAAAAGTATTTATACTCAAAATGTATGTGTGAATTTATTACATTAGTCTGATTCAGACTCTGACAAATTGGAGTGCATGATGACATGCTGTATGTGTATCTTCACAAAATTTGGTAGACTTTTAGTAATGATTCCAAGTCTTTTGTACACATAAAATTCAAATATTGTATTTGCATAACCTCTGTAACTTCTGTAATGCATATCTACAATTATTTCAGTATCCCTGTATATCGTATCTGTGTTTACTCTTCTCCACAAGTTGTCATTAAATCAGCAATGTAGGATAATATGAACAGTTCATAATACGTAATACTATGTTGAATGGCACTCTGTAGAAGGTCATGGCATGCACACTTTGACCCCCACAATTTTTCGACAATTTTATATGGTATTCTGAAGTCTGATAGTCATTTTCATGCTGTTTATTATGTCATCATTATTTCAGTCTGCAGGCTCATACAAGCACAAACAAGTTCAGGTTGGTGACAAAAACGAGATGAAAGAGCATGTGGTTCTAGTGTTAGACCAAAACTTTAAACAAAAATTCACTTTCTTTTTCTTACAATTGGCAAAGAACTACCTTGCTTAGGACTATAATACAACTCTGAGTTCCAGTTAGGAATTTTTAGGTTGCCAAATCATCACAAAATTTCCATTGACAGAAAAGGGGAACCAGAGTTTCTGAATTTTTTATCTCCACATATAACCAAAGTAAATGAAAAAATCATTAATATGACTGTATAAAAGATAGATAAGTCTTAGATCAAGCTAATAACCAAGCATGTTTGTTCATAAGGGCATGATTTATGCAGTTCAAACTTGGGTACATCATGTTTGTCTAAAACTTGTAATTAAGTGTAAAATGTAAACTATAATTTTGGAAAATTATATGATGAAAGTCGGAAGACTTGAGAAACGTCATCCTCTACACTTGTGTTCCTACAACAGGCGGTTGCTGTCCATTCAACTAAGTTTCATCATATATGAGTAAAGTTGTATTCATATAATATGTTGTGGGGTTCTTTAATTTATAATGCTTGCATGTCACATTTATAAGCATTTTTCAAATAAAAATAAAGATTAAGTATCATTGTTAATGCAGTTATTGTTTGTAACTAGCATTAAAATCTTTTGTTGATTTTTTTTTCAAAACATATTGTGATTGCATTAGTTTGTGATCTCCTGAAAGCTTTATTTTTACTTTTTTCATAGCGTCTTGGAGTACTGTAAATACAAATAAATGGTTGTAATTGTTCTAATAGATAAAGTATTGACATGTTTTTATTTCCTTTTGCTAGTTTTAACCATTTCTGTGTATTTTCAAATTCTGTCACGTGGTAGCTGCATTTGATTGCTATTTGGGCTTCTCATAAAGAGATTGTTCGATAAAACTTTATTAATAGTTGAATATGTAATTAAAAGTAAATCATATAAAGCAATTCATTTATAACCAAGAAATGCATGAAGGCTTCATAATTAACATCTTTCTGTCTTTGCAATACTCACTCTAGCTAATGTGATCTGTTTTATTATATTTTGTAAAAATATATTAAAACAGGTAACTTCGATCACCTTGTTTTGTGTATGCTATGTATTATTTAAAGTTTTATATTATATAATATTTAAAAAGGTTTTAACTGTGATAATTTTCATAAATCAGCCATTTGCTTTTCTGTGTCAAAAAAGTGAAAATCCCTGTACAAGTTTCTTATACTTATCCATAATTATGAATAACTTGTGATCAAAGCTACCTACATATGTAGATCAAAACAAAACATTAACTTAATGATGTGGCTAATTTAATATACAGATATCAGTAGGAGCATTTATTATCATAAAATAAAACTTATGATGATAAGAAAGTAATGATTTATCAATTCTTACTAAGCAATTATCCAGAAAAATCAGGGAATGAAGAGAGTGTTGATTTTGAAAACAATAAAATACAGATAATTCAAGTTGGAAGAAAGAAGATGTAGACAAATGGAATTTGTACTGAGTATATAAAAAAGATAAAAATATTGGAGCAATTAATAGGATTTCTTTACAGAAATTAAGAAAATATAGGCAAACTTTAGAGTAAGAGGTTTATTACAAAAAAAATATTAACAACAGAGGGGAAAAATAAAGTTTATAAGCTGAAATGGAATAGTTTTAATTTTCATAAAGAAGTTTAGTGAAATCACTTTTCTAAAAGAAAAATCTGAAGATTCCCCAGCAAAAGATTAAAAATGTACAAAATTCTATAAGATAAAAGAGATCATTGAAGTATTTGAAATTTACTGATTTCGAAACTTTAAATATGGAAAGATATTCCGAGTTACCCCAAGTAGAAATATTGTAATAGAACTGAAAACTTAAGTGAAATTATTGTCAAGTATATCTACAAAGGAAAAGAAGGCTTCAAAAGAACATGTGGGTGTAAAATGATTCTGGTTAGAAAATGAATCAAGTTTTTATTTTGATATATTGCAGTTTTGTTTACTAATATGGTGTTTGAATATTTAAGTAACCAAAATATTCATGAGGTTATTTTCTTAAAATAAGCTTCGAAATTTGTCAAAGTAATAAAATACCCTTCTAATTTTCCCAAATTTTCAACAAGAATGATAAGTAATGAAATATAAATAGGAAGTATTTTAAACTAAAGGTTCATAAATGCAAAATACTGTTCTAAAAGTAAGATAAAATCCTGTGGAGATATATTCTAAGTGATACGGTGGAGTTATGATTTTGTACATAATCAAAAGCTTTTTGTTGTCTAATACAAATAAAAATTATTTTATTACTTAGGTGGATCTCATAGTTTTTTTTAAGGTGATTTCTCCATATCACATTATCATCTATGATTTTGCTTTTATAGCTGTTCAATTTTAGTTAAATCATCATTTTAATTTGCCAAAATTATGTGAAGAGTTAGATACTAATGGGGCTGTAAATTATTGTTATTGTTATAAGAATGAAGTGCTTACGAATACAAATAGATATGAAACTTGGAGGTAATGCACTGTTTGAAAACAGTGTTGCAAATCTCTTCATGGATTTTTTGAACATTTATTATAACCATGTAAAACTAAGTATTGCATTTTGTTTTGAACTAAATTATGTATTAAAATATCTATTTTACAATTGTAACAAAAATACCAGAATAATTTAGTTTTTAAATTTTGTTTAATTGATAGTTTTTTTCTTTTTATCAAAAAGCAGTGTACATCAAAGCATAGCAGGAAAAGTATTGTATATATATATTTACTTTAATTTTACTTGCATGGCTGTAGATTATGTTCTATATTGTTATTTTATGAAATAAATATGTCTGCAAACTGAAATTCATTCTAACCACCCCCCAGTGGCACAACAGTATGTCTGAGGACTTACAACAGATAGCCCATTGTGTAGCTTTGTGCTTAACTTCAAACAAACGAATCATTTTAACCAAAATTTAATATGAAATTTGTGTGTGTGCATGCATACAAAACAAGCTGAACTATAGTAGGGCTTTTTTGAACGAAATATCTGACTTTACATCACAAAGGGTATATATAAGAGAAACAAGGTCTGAAGACTAAGACAATGAAAATGAGTATTATTAACATAGAAATGTGTTATAGAAGGATGTAATATTATTTTTATTATCTTTTTCTTTGAAATGAGTGTCTATTGAAACTTTTAATATTTAAATGCTCATTTGTTTATTAATTTATATTTGAATATATATTTAACTGAAAAGTAGTCTAAGGTGATAGGAAAAGTAAAGCTTTTGAAGTAGTGTAGACTGATAATAAATTGTTACAGTTTCACATGAGCGACGTAATTTGAAGTTTTTCTGTTTACATATGTGTGAATAGTTAATTTTAGTGTAATTGTGTTTCTAGAGCATAATATATTTTTATGCACTTGTGATAGCTTTTTTAGTTATTGAAATAAATTATAAGATACATTCCATTAGTCAATCTACTATGTGCCATTCTGATCATTTATGTTTTGTTTTGAAAATTAATAATTTTTTTATTTTTGCATTAGTTTATATGTATTGTAAAAAGTACTTGCAAAATATACATTTATATGGGTTTAAATTTTGTAAGCATTATTTGTCATAAAGCTTGAATCATCTTGGCTGATAAGTTTTTTTCTTTTCTCTCTCTTGTTGAATGGGTTTTGTTTTACCTATTACTTAAGTTTTTGAAAAAAAAAGCCAAATAGAGAAAGGAGTGATTCTTTTCAGTTTCATACAGAAAATTAAAAATTTAATTACAGTTGGTATAGAATTTAATTATTACCTCTATTCTTTGTTCTAGTTAGCTCACCATGCTGTTTTTCAGATTATTGTTAACAAAAGTGATTAATCTAGCCAGCTATCAAATTTTCATCTTTATCCACCTTCTAGTATTAACTTTCTGAATTATGTTTCTACTTATTATAACTCATTCAAAATACATTTAAAGTGACCAGTGAAGAAGAGAAGTCACTGTAACAATATCCTGATGGAAGGAATAAAATCTTACATTCAGACTGTAATATAATTCATTTGTAGAGAAATACATAAAATCAATAAGGCATAAATGTTTTGCTAACTATTAAACTAAGTCTATAAACTCCTAATCTAGCAAAAAGTACATAATTAATTTTTAAATGCATAGATGTGTAATAACATATTGAGGTTGAGAATGTTATATTAGAACACTTTTGGAGCATCACTACATTATTACAGTCCATGTCACCGGGTACAGTCATGCTCTATTTGACTGTGTATATTGTCATTTGTTTTTCTTTTGGCTATTGCACTTTATGGATTTTGTTTTAAACAGGTTGTTGCATGATTGATTTTAAGTTTTGGCAGCTTTATTACTGATGCTGCTTTTTTTTTAACCTTATCAGCATCCCATAAAGACACTTACAATAACAAGGAATTGTCTCCTTTGGCTATTCCTGTTCTTTCACCTGATGGTATGTGATATTTACATCTTATATTTGGTTATTTGTTTCACAATCTTTCTGTTTTTATATGTTAATACCTCTGGTTAAATTGGGTGTTTATTTGTGCTTTACAGAACAACTTTGAAAGGAGTTTCTTGTAGGAAAGATTTATTTATGCTTTATGTTGCTTCTGCTGTATTTCCTTCCAAACATTTCAATATTTTTATGTGCATTTACACAGAAAATTGTATCAGTAAACTTTCAATTTGACTCTTTGTATATCATTGCCAATTATAATAAAATAATGACTTACAGCTTTGAATAGAAAAACAGTAAGAAATAAAAAGAAATATTCAATGAACATAATGCATATGGCTAACATATTAGTAGATATTTTAGTTGGTAATTTAACTTTCCATAATATTTGTTTCGCAGAAGATGTGGCTTCCGTACTACTAGCTTATTTGACATAATGTAGTATATAAGTTTAAATAAGACCCATGCACTAATCTTGTCCACTGATAAGTCAGTTGTGACAAACCATACTAACTTTGTTTCTGTCACCATTGAAAATAAAACTTTTGTTTGTATTCAAATCATGTTGAAACTTACAAATAGGCATAGTTTTACCAGCACAATTAATTAAGTATAATGTTTACATTTTAAACTACAAATATTTTAATATGTAGAAATGTATTTTGCTGTTAGCTACTACTATGAAAATAGATTAATTTCAGGTTTGAATTAGTTGTAATGATTTTAATTTACGTGTATTATAAGGGTATGGAGTGTTTTTTTGTTTTTTTATAGTTTTGTTCACTTATGTTGCATTGCAGATACATTAATGCATGTAATTCAAAGTATTTATTTTTATTTATCAATATTTAGTAAAAATATTGCCTACATTGATTACTTCAAAATTCAGTATTTAATAATGCTAATAATTGAAAAATCAAATACATTTTAATTTAAATATAATATTTAAAGGTTTCCTAAAATCCTAATGATATAATCAACTGATTTAAGTTGGGCAGCTTAATTTAGAGAATTTCTTCTCAACATGATATTTTCTGTGTTGACTGATATCTGGTAGAGACATCATCTTGTGTAATATGACAGTATTAAGTTATATTAGATAAGCAAGTGGATTCTGTTTTTAACTATCTTATTTTTGGATTGCCCAGATGAAGAGGCAGTAGTCACAGGAAGCTCAAACCTCATAAATGCAACCACTGCCAATAGTCACAAAAAAGAAGCAGAAACTAATACCAGGAAAGAGAAGTCTGTTCTTCAGGCCAAACTTACCAAGCTGGCTATTCAGATTGGCTATGGAGGTAAAGTGCATATGTTTCCCAGAACCCTTAGCTTTACGAACAGTTCTGGCAAAGTCATTGTACTTTTTCAGTTTCTGATGATTCCTGAATGGTTTTGAACTTCCAAGCTGACTATTCAGCTTTTAGAATAAATTGGTTGATTATGATTCCAATTTTATGGGCATAGATTTCATGTTAAGTTTTTGAATTATGAAAAAGTTTATCCGAACTAAAAATTAAGATTTTTTTTTCTTTGGGCTAAACCAGGGAGTGTTATTGGTTGATTACATGTAAGTTGTACATCACGTTGTTAACTAAGAGAATAGTCGACTTATTGGGTAAATGTGCTTTCTAGCACTAACCAAGGTAACAGCAGTCTAGATATGCTTCTAGTAATTTAAGTATACTTTGTAGCTTTAGCCATGTTGATCTGTCCTTGCCTCTTAACTTCTCTAGGTTAGTGTAACATACTTCTTTATACATAACAAGAATATGGGACATATTTGAAATTATGTAATAAGAAGTGCCACAAATGGTAGTTTTGTACTTGTAACAGCAAAATGAGCATTGTACGTTTGAAAACATTCTGTGGTGATAACTTGTTATTGAAATTAATATTAAAAATTAGAAATATTGTTACATTATTTTGCTTGTACTACTATTTCAATTTATTATTCATAAAAAATTTCTTTAGTACAAAGACAAATCTTACTACTGGATTACTCTGAAATATATTTTTATTAACCCAAAAAAACTGCTGTAGTAGGCTTATAATACATTTGTATTTATTTAAGTGAACCCAAATAAACAATTGTAAAATAAGTATAAAACATACATTAGATAGGTAAACAGTTTCAAATTGATCTAGTTTAATTTAAGTTCTGACAGAATTATGTTTTAAGACTGTGCTATTAGTTTTAATAATTCAGTTCTTCTGCCACTGTGTAGTGGAATACTGAACTGCAGAAACTGCCTCTTATAACTGTATAACTAATTTTTGCTAAATATCATTTAACAACTAGCCTAAATATTGACTCATTTCACATTGCTACTGGTATATGAAATTAAACTTTCATCTTACAGCTTCTGAATATGGGATATCTGTATTGAAATAAATGTCACATTTGCCTTGGTTTGTTATACCAATCCACTAAATTAAGTCTCAACTGATTTTTCATATTCGTTAAGGTGAGGTGGTTGTATCATAAAATATTCTAGTTATTTACCAACAGTTTTATTGTTGTATAACATATGAATGTTTGTTATTTACAGGAAAAATTAAGAAACCAAAGGAAAACATTTTTATGTGTACTTTTCTTATGACTTTTTATTTGTAGTTGAACTTGATGTTTTCAGTTTCAGTGATCAGAATAATGCAGATTTTAGAAGAAAATTTAGTATTGGTGATAGAGGTGTGTTTAGCAACCCATAAACCCCAGGACAGTTTTCCTTGGATTAGGCCATGGCCCACTTACATGTTTGTTTGTTGATAAACATGTTCTGACCCCTGCTTGTGGTTTTAATGTATTTCTTCCTGTTCCTGACCAAGTTTGTGGTAAATGTAATGATTTACTTTTGGTTTTAGTATGTTGCCTTCTTGTCAGTTTTTATTCGTGCTTTTATAAATGACTTTTAGTTTTAGTGTATTACCTTATGTCTGTAGTCAGTGTGACAAGTTTTGAATGTGTGTTGACAGGCAACTTATGAATTTAATTCATTTTCTTTCCTACTGCTGCTATGGATAATGTTTTGCTTATTATATTCTGATAGTAACTTGTAGTTTAAATCCATTTGTTTCTAGTTCCTGACAAGGGGCTGCTTAATTACAATGACCAACCAGACAGCCACAGCTTAGAAGAGTGTGTGTGTGTGTGGTGGGGGGGGGGGGAGTAGTATTGATGATGGATATGAATCAACAGCTTTATTTTGTAACCAAGAAATATGCTATTTTGTGTAAGAAGTGCAGTTTTACCAATAGCTAGTTTATCACATAATAAACTGTTCTCAGACAACTTTTATTAAATGAATACTGTGAGCCATAAATCCAGATTTTGGGGTGCAGTGGTGGCCACAAGTCTCATTTATGACCAGGATCCAAAATGTATATGGTACATGTGTTCTGAAAGTTCACTTGTGCTTTTATTACATTAGTTCTATGTTATGAACAAGATAATTTATCAATAACATTTATCTATGTTCTTGTACCTACCTTTCAGTTGTAGCTGCATTCTGAAAATACACATATGGTTTTATTGAATTACCTTCATGTTATGTGATGATGACCTGTATGGTAAACATTTCTAGATAATTAACTTGTGGTTTTAGGGCTTTATTCTGTACTCTTTTTTTTTTTCAGGATGGTCTTTCAATAAATATGTTTTAACTTATGATTAACTATTTTTTGATAAACTTGAAACAAGGTAATGTGATTTTATTATTTTGATATTAATGCACTGCCATTAGCAAACAAAGTACTCACTTATCAGTCTTGGAATTTAAGGAAATACTAGCCTTTGGATGTAATTAACAGAGACATAAAATTATCTATAAATAATTCTGCAGCACATCAGTGCATCAATTTTAGAGAATTTGAAATTACAGTGAGTAATGTTTTCTATAAGGTTTTACTTTATTACCAGCTAAGTGTATGTAAAATATCTGTATATATCTTAAAAACTGGATATAATGAAAAATCTGTTGGAAGATTAAATAAATTGGTTAATCATTTTGATGCTCACATATTTGTAAAGTAACAAACATATTAATGATAATAAAATATATATGGCATGTTTTTTAACAGTCTCTACAAAAGTGTGGTTATTACATGAACATTCTAACAAACACTTAATAGAGTATCTAACAAAAATCTGGTTTTATGACATTCAATATAAAAACCATATGATGAAAAAGGGCCTCAGTTTTATCTGCAGTAATTTTATTTTAATAAAAAGTTAACTGTTAATCATATTTTTAAAGAAAATATCTTCATTCTGAGTACAGATTCCCATAAAATGGCTCTACTGGGCTTAAATTACTCCTGAACATTAAAGCTGTTTCAGCAAAATATATGTATTTGAAAAGGTTTGTAATGTATATTGGGATTTATTTTTTAGGTTCTACAATTGCTATGCTTACTGTAGCCATCCTTATAATACGATTTGCCATAAAAACATTTGTCATCAAAGGCAGGCCATGGTCAGCCTACTATACCCAATTTTTCGTCAAGTTTTTCATCATTGGTGTTACTGTCCTTGTTGTAGCAGTTCCTGAAGGTCTTCCATTAGCTGTTACACTTGCTTTGGCTTATTCTGTAAAGGTGAGATATAATGAAAACGTTTTACAATAGCTCTGACATAATTTTATAATTAGGAGGTGAACATTGTTTTCCTTTAATGTTTGCATTGATTTACTCTTTGCTGGCAAGTGTTAGAAACAAACGTTTTAACATTAATGTTTGACTGCAATCTTTTGATGTTTTTAGTTAATGCTGAAAACCTGGTGGACAGAAAGATACTTGTATGAAAACAAATTATTATTTTACAGATGTAACTGAAAGAAAAAACTATTATTAAATAAAAAAGCAATTTAATGTACTTATTATAGTAATGTAATTTGAAATTGTTTACAGGACTGTACCTATATCCATTAAATTTTACCAATACTAATAAGTTGACTTTTTAGATTATTATATTCATTACTTTTATTTCAATTTTAACAAAGACAGTATTATGTTTCAAATTTTAATATAAGAAGGTCAATTGTCATAGAACAAAAACTGAGCTATGAGATTATTTCAAAGTACATAATCTATACCAAACACCTTAGCAATAATGTTAAATCAGTATTCCAAAACATACATACCTCTGATGACACTTATAGCTATTTCTCGATCTTCATCTTTGCCATCTGAACATCGTGTTCACTTGCTCCAGTCTTTATACCCCACTTGACTGCCCTTGGCAATATCTAATTTGCAAAACTTTACACCAGCCCTCACACGCCCTCTATGCAGGTAATGTATATAGGCACTGTATGTCGACAATATAATCACTTTTTCTCGACAAAGCGATAGTGCTAGGAGTTACGTTTTGTGGTTCACATTCTGTTTTGAAGCATTTTGATAGAAGTCTGGTGGTTTTTTTTCCCATTACCGATACTTCGTTGGTTTTCTTTTGTGGTTCAAAAAATAAAAAATGTGGTTATGAATTCCTGGGTAACGGTTTCTGCACAGGGATCAACCAGACATCGTCCATTGCTCCTCCGTTGTCGTCTGGTAGTAGTGGGGGGGGGGTCTTCATGTGCCCCGGGGGATTTTAGAGTTGACTTTTCATTGTGAACCTGAATATACTGGGGAGAATTTAGACACTGTCTTCTGCTCCTTCTTTCACTGGGGCTGCCTCTACTGAGGGCTCATCTGATCGGCCACTTGGAGAACTTGGTTTTCGGGCTTTGGATCTTCTTTTTTGGCTCATTTCAATGACATTCATCTTTTGGCCTGTCATGTGCCAAGGATTATTATTTTGATAGCAGATCACCTTTATCGACCCCATCAGATTCTTCCACCAGCATGGGTGTTCCATCAGGTGGTCTTTCAATGGATTTGTTCTAAGTTAGGCTTTCCAAAGATAGACATCTATGCAACTTATTGAAATGCTAGCCTACAGTTCTGCAAATTCCACATCCACAAGCTCTGGCGATAGATGCTTTCAGTCAAGACTGGACAGGGTTCAATTTGTATGCCTTTTGTCCTGTTCATCTCTTACCCAGACCCTTGTCTATGATTCATTTCATCCCATATTGGGTTCTCTTGTCAACACCTTTTTTGCCTGCTCATATATGGTTTCCTCTTCTTCAGTTGCTACAGGAATGTTTACCACTACCTCTTCATTCATCATTGTTGAGACAACCTCAGTCCAACATTCAACACCTGGATGTTTAACTCCAGCTTCATGCATGGAAGTTATGCAGTCCTTTGCCCAACCATAGGGGTTTAAATTCTACAGTTTCTGTTTATTTGACTATAGTCTTCATCAACCTACTATGGCAATCTATCAATGGAAATGGACTACATATTGTCAGTGGTGTCTTCGGTAAGCCTTCAACCCACTTCATCTAATAGTCTCCATAGTTTCAAGTTTTTTGACATGGATTTTTGAAAGGTTTGACTTCTACCTTGCATTATGTACAGCATCTTTGCTGCTCCCTTTTGCTCTTCTACGTATAGAAAGGTTTTTGACTCCTGTGCTATCTCGTTTTATGATTCTTTCATATTCTTAATCCCAAGCAGCCATTTCAGTTTCCTAATTGGGACTTTAGAGTTTTTTTTTCATGCACCATCACTTTATCCCTTCAAGCATATGGCCTCCTGTTTTTTGTTTCACCTTTCCCTTCAAGTATATTTCTAATGTTGTTAGCTTCCGGATGCAGCTGTTCAGATTTATTTGTCATCCCTGTTCAGCAGTCTCTCTATCCTTCCACCTATTTTTTGCTCTATCCAGACAGATCCTTCCTACTGAACACTCTCACTGCCAGAGAAGGGAATAAATTATTTTTTTCATATTCTTTTTCAATGCATTTCTCATCTTTACAATCTATCATACTCAGATCTTTTATGTCCACTCAGAGCACTTAGATGTTTTGTGGCTTGTATGGAACTGTTCAAGAGCCATATGTACTGGCTTTTTATTTAGTGGGATCCTTCAATGAGTGTTGTCCAGTCAGATGTGCTTGTATTTTTTTCAATTCCACACTGGCAACCTTTAAATCGGATCATGGTTGCAGCAGGCTCTGCCAAGATGAGGTGTTCCATAAGACCATCTAGACAATTCTGGATGGAGTATTATCTCACAATACTGGTCACTAACACCAGATCTTAGTGGGGAGGAAATAAGGGAGAGTGTCAGTGGAGTTAAGTATGTTTGGAAATACAATTTCAGATTAAGAAAATTATAACTTCCAAAACATACATACCTCCACTGATACTTATAGCTAGAGTTCCACACTGAGAGAGTGAAGGGGCCAGTGAGGTCATAGTTCATACAGAAAGCATCTGCATAGAACAAGGTGTACCATGTAGGTTGGTCCTGCTCCTACTGGGAAAAACTTCCAGGGACCCAGGTAGGATGGTCCCCAACTTCTCCCCCTTCTCCGAGAGTGGAGAAAATTCAACACTACGAAGGAAAATCCTCTTTCCACCACCCCAGTCATGATAGTCTATGAGTAGCAGCCCATTGGATTAGAATGGGGTAAGTCTAAAAAAGTGATTATATTGTCAACATACAGTGCTTATATACAGTACCTGCATAGAGGGCATGTGAGGGCCGGTATAAAGTTTTGCAATTTAGATATTGCCGAGGGCAGTCAAATTGGGTATAAAGACTGGAGCAAGCGAACACAATGGTTAGATGGCAAAGATGAAGATAGAGAAATAGCTATAAGTGTCAGGTAAGTATGTTTGGAAATAGACTTTCAGATTAGGAAAAATGATAACTTAAGAGATTTTCTTTCCAAGATTAGATGGGTAATATTTCATGGCTTATTGTAGTAATTGTAATTTAAAATCATAAGAATCTTGATAATGTAATTAATTTTTAAAATTTTGAGAAAAGTGTGAAAATCAGACTTGTCCAGTTAAAACTATGAACTGTTGATAACTAAATGCTATCCCAAAAATTAACTGATTTCCAGGAATAACCATTTTATATAAACAAGTACTGAATTTTCATAAATGTTTAAAAAATGTATATTAACTAAGTAATATTCATAATTTACAAGAAGAGAAGTTGAGTTTGAAGAAGTACAAAGTTAAGGGTTAGACTTATATAACATTTGTAATTTGCATAATTCAAATAATATAATCAAAAAGACTAATGTTTTGGACAGAAATATTCATGTATATCAGGCCTCGACAAATTGCCGAAATTTATGAGATACTTACGTCTATGCTAGTGATTAAATTCAACTAAAATGGGAACGAGCAATCAAAAGAGGTAGTAATATAATAGAAAAAATGGAATTGGACTCTTGTAACTCATGAAATTCAGAAAAATCGGGTGTGACAGACTAACTGACGGCCCGACACTTGGCTTTTATGATTATACTGTGATTACTTATATAATTTTTCATGATAATGTGATTAAATGAAAATAAAAAGATTCTAATTTAAAGCAAGAAACTTAAATTTATTTAACATTTTTATTTAGATCAAACAATGGGCTAACTAGTAAGATACATTAGTGCCTCAATTAACTGCTGTTATTCTGTTATTCAAAATTTTTTGTTTTCCTCGAACAAACAAAGATAATCGAGGCACCAGCATATATTTATTTACTTTCACAGCAAAAAATGCATGCTAACGATCACATGAGATCAACAACCACTTGATAGTATTGCTAAACTAACTGCCTTTGGTCTTGTATGAGTCTAAACACACACATTGATTGATTGAATTGAAAGAAAGAAGAAAAACAAAATGGTGTGAAATTAGTAGAGTGTTGTGCAACCACAGCACTTCATTCCTGAAAAAAACCTAAAGAAGTGCTGAATCTGCTATTAAAATCCTAGAAACAAAGTTTGATTTAGCACTCAAAGGATGCAAAAATAATTCCCAGACTTCCAAAAGTCCAGAACTGTTTTAGATTCGAGTTCTATATAGCACAGCTCTATTCATGAATAAAATGGGAAAAAATACTATGCACAAGGATGAAATTTTTAGTTGCCATGGTGACCTGGCACCTGGGAGTTGTTGAGGCCTGATGTATATTGTAATATCAATTGTTTGATCTCAACAAAAGTAAATAGATCTTGTAGCAGTGCATTTACTGTACTGCATAAGGAAGTGGTTGAGACACAATTTTCTATACTATACACTAGCATACTTAGAAGTGTAAAAAAAGTATTGTATTAGTACACTTGCTGTACCACACAAGCCAGAAAAAAGTTGATGCTCAATTTCACCACAATCATTACTCTGGATTGTAAAGGGTTAACATATAATTTCACTAAACTCAACATTCTGGCTAGCAGGAAAGATTTGTGAACACTTTTACTGCTTTCATTATTCTAGTTACTAAAAAGTTTGGTAAACAATTTCACTACACTCAATATATTGACTAATAGAAGGATTGATACACAAATTTATTATAAAAAAAATGATGAAGTAGGAAATTCATAGTTCTGGCTGCTAAAAGAATTTTATCTTTCATTAGACTACTAGGAACTAAAAGTGGTATTAAAGCACCACCCCCACCAGGCTATTAAAGATTTTAATAGGCTAAAAAATGTAGTTTTTTTTGTTCTGTAACTACCATTTGAGCTGGCTTAGAGTATATTAGCTGTATAGATTGATTAGTCACATATAAACTTAGTAGTGTAAAATTTTATTTCAGTATTTTTCATGCTAACTGATTGAGAGTTTATTTGGTTTATGTCAAGTTCTTGCATCTTCATACTCAAATTGTGAGAAATTTGAGCTTGATTTTATTATTATTATTGTTATTATTCACTAGCAGAAACTGAACTGCAACAATATTTTATATACTAGCAGAAACACTGCCCTATGGGCAGCTGTTTGTGCTGGTAATTACTCATCGTAGTATTCTTACCTCATTGTAAAAAACATGAAAATTTTCTAAAAGTATTTTTTTCTGGGAAGTACTGCATGGAAAAAGCATTTGATTGTGCTCTTTAGTCATACGTAACTCATTGCATCAAAATGATTCAATGTACAGAGCTCAAAATTTTCATAAATTTTGCTCATATAAACTGTAATGTTTTATATATATTAAAAGTCCTACCCTTTATTGAAAAAATAATAGATTTTTAAGAATTCTAGTTTCTCAGTACTTCATTTGAAAATTACATCAGTAAAGATATAATCAAACCCTCACGTATAGTCCTAGTGAAAGTTGTGTGCTTGTTGTGAGAAGAGTACTTTTATTGAAAATTGTGTTCTATTATAAAGAAATGGTTGTTGCATTTTTCTAAGTGTCTGAATCTTGAAGTGTGAAATGTTTTTATTGATTTTTGTTTGTGGTACCATTCAAAAGACTGTGCCGCATTGTATTTATTATTTCGGTCACATACATAGATAGATACATATACATGCTATATCCATTATAGTAAGAGGTATTTGTTAAGGCAAGACTTGAATTAATATGGTTTGAATATTTTTTCCAAATTAAAACATTAGCATTATTTTTGGTTGTTGATGTTTAATATTTAGGTAGTCATTCAGCATAAAATTGTCAAAAATTAATTTCTTTAATATTAACAACAGAATCAGAGTATAAGCAATCTATATATAAAGGTTGTCTTGTTACATAGCAGTGCTTTATCATTTTAGGAATACATCAGATTTATCATCACATGCATCTTCTCTTATGAATTTTTAAATAGAAATATTCCATTTATGTAGAAAATGATGAAAGACAATAATCTTGTTCGGCATTTGGATGCATGTGAAACTATGGGAAATGCCACTGCCATCTGTTCTGATAAAACAGGCACCCTAACTACTAATCGCATGACTGTTGTCCAAAGTTACATGGGTGGTAAGTTTGGAAAATTGGAAATTACACAACTAAAAAAATTGATTTCTTAATGTTATTATGAACACATGGTGAAACTGGGAAAAAAAGGAGCATTTATATCAAACTTTGTAAAACAATTGTATAATTAAATTTTCTATTTTCTGGAATTATTAACCAATGTTTATTCTGCTGCTGCTGCTGCTTTGTAATAGAGTTTATAAGCAATGATTTTTTTAACATACTGTTGTAAGAACTCTAGGAGTGAAATCATTGCAGGGATGTTGAATTTATGATTAAAATTTTTTTACTTTATATAGTTGTTGAAATTTATAATCATTAGCCATTCTCCCTAAAGTTACTCATACAGTTAATTTGGTCAGGGGGTCATTTTTCCAAAATTACCTTTGTTAGGAAATTCTGTTCTTTTGTAGATAATATTTTTTGTCAGAAATGGTTTGTTTCTGGTACTCTGTTTGGAATGATGATAAATACCATTAATTTGAAGGTGATCTTCCATGAAACTTCTATGTATATGATGTGCCTATTATTTTTTAAAAAGTAAATTTTATAACATCTTATGAATAACTATTCTTTATATTAAAGGCATTGTGTGTTGAGCATATTATCAGCCTTGTATCATATTCATGGTTCAATAACAAATCTGTTTAGACCATGTGGGAAAAAGTTTTGTTTTATATCTAATGTTTATGACATTTATAGTCTCATATGAATCTCTTAACGATAAATTTTACGTATTTTTAGTTAGATATATCTTCCAAAATGTATTTTATAGAATTAATGTTCAGATATTCTCTTTTGTAATGATACATTTTGTGAATTTAATATTGAGACGCCTTCCTCATTCAAGGCATTTTATTAAATTATGGTTTAATGTAAATTTTTAAGAACTTTTAGTCATGCATCATTCTCCAAATGATAAATTTTATAAAATTATGAACAAATATTGATCTTTAAAAGGTACTCTATAGGGAATGTGAGGTTAAATGGCTCTTTTAAAAGCTTTTTTTTTCAAGTATTATATTTTTCTAATGAAACTTTTTTAGAATTTATGTGTAAATACTTTTTTACAGGTACATTTCATGTGTTTTCTTAGTCAAATAATTCTAAAGGTACTTTGGTGAAACATAGAGTGAAATATCATTATTGTAAAGATAATTTATGTAGTTTTGCAAAATATAACTAATATAAAATCCAAAATAATTAACATCTCATTATTCTCGCATTAAATAAAATGTAAAACTTATTAACATGTAAATGAAAAATGAATTTTTTTCTATACTCTAAAGGTGTTCATTATAAAACATCACCAAAGTATGATGACCTTCCCCCAGACATTGCAGAGAAAATTCTTTATGGAATTTCAGTTAATTCTGGTTACACTTCTCGTATTTTGGTGAGTGATTTCTTAATATGTAAATAGCATATGAAAAAATATGTAATACTTTTCACATTTAATATGCATTCTGGTGGCTCAGTAATAAGTCTGAGAGCTTGTATTGCTACAAATCAGCTTTCAATACTCAAGGTAGTCATAACACATATAACACATTTTGTAGCATTGTGCTGAACACCAAACAGATGAACAAGTGCATTTAATGTAAAGTTAATACATGAAGTAAAGGTAGATTGCTCTATAATTTTTAAGAAGTATTGTTATTAATCTTTTACAGATTTCTAATTTGTAATTCAGAATATTTTTTATAAGTTTGTCTATTTTTCATGTAATCTAATTGGAATAATCATGGTTTCAAGCCCAATAGAAATAGGAAATCATATCGCAGTAGGAAATAAACTTGTTATATTTTCAGGAAATTATATTTTTATTACTCATCTGCTATAAGGAATTTTTAAAAGGAAATTAAAATGTCCTGAAGATTGTATGTTAAATAAATTTTAATCACGTGATATTTAGAAAATGTTTAAAAATGGTACCATTATTATTAATGTGAAGAGTTTTATATTTTTAGTGGGAGAAGATGCTGATATTGAAATTGCCCAATTAAATTTTCAGAAACAGAATTTGTATTTGTATGAAATATATACATAGTAATAGGCTTAGAACTACACAAAAGATAGCCACATACTTTTTTTAAAGTTAGAAAGCTTACAAATACAAGATATACTTTTTCGAAGTAGAATTAAATGCAATTTTTTTAAATTTGCATATCCAGTTGTGCCAAGTATCAACTAGTAAGTGTATTTTTATTCATGAATAATATTTTTCTAGATATTATCATTATTTTCTTTTTGCTTTTAGGAATTTTTGTAATTTGGTAAATAAAATATAAAGTTTTCTCAAACACGGTTGTACTTGGCTGACTTAGATTTTCACTCACTATGTAAAAGTGGATGTATTTGTAGGACTGTATACAGAATTTTTATTAGAAATGACAGAATTATACCAGAAGTTTAGTATTACAATTTCCAAAGCTTCAAACAGTTCTGAACTTGTTTGCACTTTTATTCACTGAGCAAAAGAATATAATTCCAATATGATATCTTACCTCCATTTAAAAAAGGCTTTCTCAATTAGTACTGTCCTCTATCGGTGCAAATTTTTTCTATTGCAACTAGTCTTGTAACCCTCACTTTTTCTGCATATCTACATGCAAATGATCAAGCAGCATCCCTCCACCAATAGGAGTGCAACACTACCCCTAATGTAACTAGTGCCCTCCCTAATAATGCACCTGTTAACCACTTCTCTTACTGCACAGACACGTTTGATTAGGTAATATATCCATGCATTATGACTTTCAAGTGTTTTTCTACTTTAGTCACTGCTGTTTTCCCTTTTTTTTTTTTTTTTTAAGTTGGAGAGTCACGATTTAAATTTCATTATCTATTCTCCCTTTTCTGATTTTTTTTTCCGACTTTGTGAATTATGCACTCACAGTTTTGGGTGGCCATCACATGTCATTTTTGGAGGTCTTACCTAGGTCTCCTCCTCCCTTTGTAGCCATTGTTTCTTCAGGTATGTTATTTTTTGTCTTAGTTTCCTGTTTCCTTGGATTTTACCCATGCCCTCTTTGGGGATTAATCTTAAGGTCTTTGGTTTGTCCTTACCCAGATAGTTGGGTTCACGCTCATTTTTCTGGAGTACTTGTGGGTTTGGGGGTTGGTACGCTTTGTCCCCTTTGTATGTTGGCCTTCTCTCATTCCATCTACTCATAATTCACCTCACACCTTTTGGATTTTTTTTATTCCAGTGTGGGGTTTGGATCCTGATGCTTTGGTTGCATTTCCCTATTACAGAACTCTCCTGTTCATTTATTACATTATCCATTATTATCTGTGCCTTATCCTCCCTTCACCTTTTGGGTTGGGATGGTTCTGTAGTTTCATTATTTGTTTTTTTTTGGTGGTCATAGTCATCTTCTTTTTACTACAATGGCACACATTTCCTCTTCAGCCTCACTTTAAAGATGTCGCTGCTATGTAGTTGGGTTCTTCTAGGTCAGAATCTTGTTTTCTTTAGGGTTATTTTACCCTCCTCTTCTTTACATGTATTATGCATGGTACTTTTTTTTGTATTACGAGGTGTTGGAGGTCTTCCTGCCTATTTGGAGACTGGTGTTTTTTCGGCAAGTTTCCGTAACTTCATTTCCACTAGTCCCCCCCCCCCCTTTTACTACTCACCATTTACTTTATTTCACCCATAGTGGGATCCCGTTTATTCCCAGCATCAGTCAGAAGTGGCTCGGTTCTAACTTCTCTAGGGTCCTTTCTGTGAGGTGATCATTCTCATTAGGGGTTTTCACTTCTGTTTTGTGTATGATGTAGGTCGATGTGTCTGATACATGACTCCATATTCCCATTTCCCCAGCATCCAGACATTTTTCATCATTTTTTTCTTCATGGGTGTGTGTGTGTGTGTTTTCTGTTTAGGCCTTGCCTTGGCTCCCTCTGTGTTCATCTGAGTGGTCTAGACCTTTGCTCGTCTGCTTCTTTCTCTGAGCTTAGTGTACACCTTTTCAGGGATGGCTGGATACTTATAGCTTCCTCACTGGCCATATCTGCTTTCCATACTCAGTTTCTTCTTCAGGAAGCTGCCTGTGTAGGTTGGTGGGAATTTCATTCCTCACACCTGATCAGTTTTTAATTTTCTTGGTGTGTATTTCATCTCAGTTCTTAGTTGTGACCAACCTTCTTCCCTTTGGTTTAGAGCTCTGGTATGTCATTTAGGCGGCTTCTCTCACAGCCCTCGCTCCTCTTGGTCACGCCAACTTGCACCGTCCTCTGTGGGTTTTTGAATCACCAGATGCTATCTTGTTTTTGATCCCTTGGATGCTCCTCTTGCCTTTTCCTCTCACTAACAGTCTGTATTGACTGTTGGTTGGATAGGACCACTTTGCTGCTCAGGTTTCTCTTCCTCCTCCTCATCTGGATTGTCACTTTTTCCTGATGCTTCTTTTTCCGTTTCGGGAGTATTACTCGACATTTATCAATTATTATTCATCTCGACACAGTCAATAGTGCTTCAAGGCATATTACAGTGTCTTTGGCAGACATGTGTAACCCTTCGTTAAAATTTTTGGAGAACACATAATATAATAAGCCTTGAGAACTGATGCAGATTATGGTGTATATTTAAAAACTGTTTAAACCTTTCAATTACCGTATTTTTCGGTGTATAAGATGCACTTTTTTACCCCAAAATTTTATGTCAAAATCTGCTTGCGTCCTATACACCGAAGGTATGAATAATATATATGTATATATACGATATACACAAGCTATGTGTAAAAATATTTAAATAGGCATGCATAGTTTAGCTCAATTGAATGTGTTATTTATAACAATAGTAGTTTTTTTTTCTTTTAAAAACATAACTATTTATAATGCTCCCTTGTGAAAATGGAAATAGCAGTGTTTAGCAGTAGTGCATAAATTATGGCCGCCCAACTGAGCACAACTGATTATGGAGAAATAGTTCCAAGGGCATCATTATGGGTATCATTATTCTTAATGTTTAACTAATCCAAAGCACTATGCTTCTTAAGTACTACCAAATAACTAGTCTACATTAATAATGGCTCTTGTACTAGTGAGCTTTATTTCTACATCCTGTTGATAAGTTCCAACTTAATTGAGTCACAGTGCAAGGCTGTATGAATTTCCTTGAAGAGTTGTGTATATTTGAAATTTATATATTTTATATACTTGATAAAACATCTGTACAAAGAACTTGTACATATTAATTGATTAGAATTTTAATAAAGTTGAATAATAAAATGTAACATTTTTGCTTCATTGAAAATATTTTACTCCTTTAGCCTTCTGAAAACCCAGGAGACCTTCCTAAACAAGTAGGCAATAAGACAGAATGTGCCTTACTAGGCTTTATTCTTGACATGGGCAGAGACTATCAGGCAGTGAGAGATGATATCCCAGAAGAAAGGTTATACAAAGTGTACACTTTCAATTCTGTTAGAAAATCAATGAGTACAGTTATTCCTATTGAAAATGGATTCCGGGTTTATACTAAAGGAGCTTCAGAAATGGTCATGAAAAAGTATGTACTTTGAACTGTTACATATTTAAAATACTTAATATTTTTCATTTTACACAGTATGCAAAAAATAAACTTTTTTGGCTGATTTTCTTTTTCAAAAATTAAAGCTACACTAAAGATGCTGTGATTTGTCATGTGTCTTCATCTCATTGCTTATTTTTCAATATATATCAGTGTGTTATGTATAAGATGTTTATTTCATTTTGAGAATTTGTAAGTATGTAAATTAATAATTCAGAATGGCTACTTACCTCTCTGCATCACTAAGAGATCTTATCTCACACACTACTGTGGAATTTCCTCTGCATGCTTCAAGCCTTGAAAAAAGTCCCACTCCTAAACATATCTGCATGTATTGCACTGACCTATGGTACAATTGTCATGATGCTGTAGCCCCTCCACCAATAGAAGGGTGAACAAACTTTATGTGCAGTAATTCCCATGAACATTAGCACATTTTTTTTTTTCCTGTGCTTTTTGAGTTTTCAGACACCTTGATCGACTGTCTTTCGTGCTACATTGCTGTGGTCCTAAACATAATTTTTGCTTCTGGCTCTTCTCTCCATGATGAAGAACGGATACCTCATTTTTATGTTTGTTACACTTATAAATCAGGTATATGATATTCTGTCTCTTTTAACTTTGTATCATAATGTCTCTTTAGTTGTTTTACTTCATGAGCCTTCTTCAGTCCTAACTTTACATTGTTCCACATCTTTATTGACTTACTCATCTTTATGATTCCTTTGCTAAATCCTCTGGTCATGGCCCTTCTGTATTTCTTGAACCCCAGTCTCTTGTGTCATCTCTGTCTGTGTGTTCCTCTTTCTCCTTCTTTGTCTTTTTCTTTTGAGCCATCTGGTTGTCTTCCTTTCTTTCTTGTCAACTGTTTTTCCCAAATCCTTTTGCTTTTAACTGAGGTTCTTCATAACAACACCAATGATTTTCATGGAACCAACTATTATTTTTTGTTTGCCACTTCTTCTACTATTTCTATTTTGACTTTGTTTTTGGGATCTCCTCAGTTGGGATGCTTTCTTTTTGAATGTCCACATTCTTCTTTTCTTCCATCCATGATATTTGTCTCACTTCTTTTTTTACAGACCAGGTCTTTGAGAGTATTCCAGACTCCTTGGATTCCCTGGCTAAAGCTGTTCTCCATCAATGTTCCATTGTTTTTCTTGGTTTCCAATTTTACTAGTCCATAGGTACCCCTGTCTGCTACCCATCGTTGGGAGTCACTTTGGGCTAACCCATCTCCTGTTTCTCATCCAATCTCTTCTGTTTTCCATCTCCACCAGGGCTGGCTGTCTGGCTTCCTCTCAACAGGATTTAGCAGTTGTCTGGGCTGGCTGGTTATATGTTCTAAGTCTTTTTTTGGCTTCCACTCAGTGTCTTGTCCACCATAGGTTTTTCCTCATTTTTCATGTGGGGCAGACTCAACCTTTTCCCTTGCATTTTCGTGCCTTGGAATGCTCGGTAACCCAGACACTTCTCTATCCTTTTCATGCTTTGTAATTATGAAATGAAAGGGTGGATGTTGAGTGTCTTATAAATTGTAGAAACATGCGTGGTTTATTTCTACTACAAGAAAATTTTGGCTTATTTGTTGGGTTGATTTGCCTTTTTGTACATCTTATAATGTTAGAGAAAAGGGTGGGAGTTTTACATTTTAGAAATTTAGGGCAGTTTAATTCTACTTTAAGGTTATATCTAAATATTAAAGGTAATTGCTTTCCCACAACTGGCTGCAGACAACAAAAGGCAGTAGGAGTTGAGATGTTGTGGGTTCAAACACTCACCTCCTTACCCTTAAGTGATTCTCCATAGTTTCTGGCTGGTTTGACATCTGTGTTTGGATCTTGTCTGATAGGTAGAATATTGCCAGTGTGTTTGGGAGATATGGCCTATTTATATATATATATATTACTATTAAATATTAATTTTAATTGGAATATTATCATAAATTTTTGTTGCTTGGTATAAGTAATTTCTCTAAGTTTACTTTTTTGACTTTAGGAATTTGTAAATTTCCCATGTTCTTTAGCTCTTATTTCATATATTGTTTTTATTTCCTGCCAATTC